TTTGGGGGGTTAGCGGGCAAATGCAGGAAGACAGTGGTTCTGCGCCACGTTCGAGCACCTGCGTGACGTTTCTGAAACAGGCAGAGAGACAGAGACACGGAGATTCAAAGACAGAGAGACACAGGCACCTGCGACCAAGTTCGACCAAGAACCAGTAATTTGAGGCAAAGACTGAGAAAGCCAGCAAAACAAGCCCGCACACACATGCACACATACACTCGCATCCAGAAGAAATCCGCGCATGCGCGAGGATTGATGGAGTTGTCATCCTCAAAGAAGACACTCTCTCGTTCTGAGCTTAGCCGGCTTAGCCATGTAACCATCGCCACGCCCGAATCCACGAAGCCTCTCAACGAGCCAGCGGGTCCTGAAACTGCAGTCCGGCTTATGGATTATGGAGTGTTGAGAATCGAGACACGCTGGGCCCCGAGCTTCGAGGATCAGGAAGCCACAGTATTCCAACTGAACGTAGGGGCGTGAATAATTACCAATACTATCTTGGGATTCCTTATTATAACCCTAGTACAATGGGCCCAAAACGCTGTTCTAACTAATAAGACCCCTACATTAACAACTTGAGACCGACAATTGGCCACATGTTCCATTCTGTTGGAACCTCGGGCAGTACGACTGCTCTTAAGCAAGTGTCTAAGTAGGAACCTGCAGAACTGGACACGGAGATTCTATCATCAACACCAACCCATCTTGCTTGACGTGCCGACGCCGGCTTTGTCGTTTCTGTACGATCCGAATGATAATGCAGCTAAATAGTCTTCTCTTAGAATCCCTATATACTTATGCAGTATTACTTAACCCCCCCCACCCAATGAATCTATGCTGATTGAATGAGGTCCGACAAAACCAGCTTCGCGTCGCGGCCTGTGGTCATGGCCGACCTGCTCTCGGCACTGTTTCTCGTGTTTAAGTTGAGACCACACTCTGCATGGAATGAATGCAAGCAGCGCCAGCTGAGACTGGGGTGTATACTAGAATACTAGATAGGCCAAGGATTCACCGACGAACATTTAGACCCATTACCCTGAAGGTGGGCTTGAAATGATTTGACATGATTTGACTGTCCCGCTATGGTCTGCCTAAGGCCTAAGACGGGGACGACTTTCATGAGGATCCATGCTAGCCCTCGACCAGAACCTTCGCTCCCCACGGCATCATGTGTACCCACCTAACGGGGGCGGGATTCAGTCGCAATCTTGCCGAGGAAGGGTACCATGTCAGAGCCTTAGTCGACCGTTGAGGATGCAGCCATGCCAGAAGCGAAGATTGCGATTTCATGCCGTACTTCGAATCAACGCGAGAAAAGATAAGGATATCCTGATTGGCTACACTGAGTTGGAGGGCCAAGCAGGCCGGCTTTGACAAAAATCCGTGCAAAGGTGCAGAGAGGACGTGGGCTCAGGTTTCCCAGGCACAGGTCTTTGCGCAGAGTGGGCCAAAACCCATTCATCAGCTGAGAGTTGCTTGCAGGCAGCCTTAGGCTTCCCAACAAAGAGAGTGACATTCAACCCAATACCCCTTAATTCAGGAATATTCCTTAAATCATAATGTCAAGGCCCCTATAATTTAAGGTATATTTCTTAATTAAGGGGTATTGGGATCTCTGGGGTGACATTCAAGAGCCCATGCCAAAGACGGATAGGCTGGTCACTCGAAGACCAAGAGGAAGCTTTCTCGGAACATGAGGAGCTATGGGGACCATAGTGATTGTCCCAACAGCTTGGGCATTAAGGGCACACTGAGTGCCCTACACCAATTTCTGACGTTGGGGATGTTGCCACGTCCGCAGCTATGAATTTCGGGCAGGGGGATTGAATTAACGTAGGACTTAGGAGGGCATCTGCGCCAAACGCACGATGGTCAACATCGATGTCCACACTCTAGTGGTGACAGGCTATGGGGCGCAGTTCCGCTAAGGAGCCAATCGCTCGGATCATCGGATTCCCAACTTGAGATTCGGCAACGGCGTCATTGCATCGTCGTTGTGACTGTGAACTCGTCGATGGAGTACTCGGTGCTGCAGGCTTCGCCCTCAACTACCTCGGCCCAGACACTTCTGGCGTGCCGAAACCCCAGCGATGGCTCAGCATTGCACTTCAAAGCCCGGCCAGAGGCGCAGTTATAACCCTAAACCCTAAACCCCCAGAGCCTAAACCCTAAACCCTAAAACCCCCCAGAAGCTCGGCCATCAGGTTGAAGCTCATACCGCCGGGAGCATATTTTCACAAGCAGGGGCCAAGCTCTCAGAGGACTAGTTTGTCAGGAAAGGACTTGCTGTGCTGCTTCGGCTTTCGATGCACAGCTTTCGCTTCGAGTTCAGCACTCTGAGCGCTGTTACTTCGAGCATTAGGGCGCGTTGAGGCCCTGGTCTTGTACGGCTTTCCCACAACCGCAAAATTCTACCCAGCATACTGGGGATCTCGTTTCGTTCCGGACACACTGGGACCGCAAATCCGACGAATCATGGCGTGCTGCTACCCCTGAATCACTCAACGTGTGATGGGATATCGGATACTGGGATGAACTTCGTATTTTTTCTTCCATGCGTGCGCGTCCGTTGGTTGCAGAATCGAAAACACACCAAACAACTTCTGGTCGAAACGAACTCTGCATTTGCCGTTGTTTTGTCTCGTTTTGGCCCTGCCACGAATCACCATCGCAACCACACCTACACGTCATCGTCATCATCACGATCTACGGGAGGGAGAAGCTGTGGGAGACACTTGTTCCAACTAGCGCCGAGAATGAAATCTGTGCCGCCAGAGGCCCTGCGATCTTCGAGACATCGTTGCGGCAGACAGCATCGCTTGTGCTCGCAGCTCGGGTCGGGTGAGGCCAATTGTGTGATTTTAGCGACCTCTGCTGCTGCCACTTGGGGCTTTCCGAAAATTAGGGGTACCTTATTTTGGGGTCCTTATAATAGGGATCCTACTACTAAGGGTACTATATTTGGGTCCCCTATTTTCGGAACCCCCCACTTGTGGCGGTTTCCCGGTGCAGAGTGTTGCCGGCTGCTTGGCTGCCGTCGGCCGTCGTCACGGTCATCGTCGTGGCCCTCGTCACGGTCGTGGTGGTGCTTGTGGTGGTTATGGCGGACGTGGTAGTTGTGGCGGTTTCGGCTCTGGTTGTGGTTCTTGCTGTGGTTGTGGTCGCAGTTGTGTTCGTTGTGGTTGATGTTGCTGTTGCTGTTGCTGCTGCTGCTGCTGCTGCTGCTGCTGCCGCTTCTGCTGCTGTTGCTGCCGCTGCCGCTGCCGCTGCCGCTTCTGCTGCTGCTGCTGCTGCCGCTTTGCTGCTGCTGCTGCTGCCGCTGCTGCTGCTGTTGTTGGTGGTGGTGCTGCTGCTGGTGCTGGGGCTAGTGAGGGTGTCAAGGCTTGTGAACCAGAAGAGGCCGAGCTTTGTGGCTTTGTGCCCACCCCTGAACCATCAAACCCTGCACCCGCAACTTGACCTCATTGGCTCATAGCAGCACTATTTCTAGTATACTTCCAATATGGAGGTTTCTGCGCTACCTAGCTGCAGTCTCTCAAGCCGCCCATCTTCCGAGCGCCAAGCCCCGCAGTCCGAGGGTACGAAGGACGCACCGCGGTGGGCGCTCGCCAGTGGCGAATCCTGCGAGGTGGTTTCTTCCGTGTAGCCAGTATTAATACGAATAGTAGGGGTAGTAGAGAAGGCCTTGTAAGTCAGGGGCAGAGACCTCCTTAAAGGGATCATGCTGCCTGTTCTGGGTTTATGACATTTTGAGAGTAGCTCGCAATGGGAGTTAACTTTGAAGCATTGAAGAGGTTTGGGGGGTTGCGGGTTCACTAGACCACGAGGCAGCCCACTGGGACATTTATTATTTTCCGGTGCTTTGTTGATTTAAGAGCGCTGTACTTATTGGTCTTTTTCCGAGGCTTTAAAGGCCAACCAAGTTCAAGGGTGTCGAGATTTCCTTGATGTCGTTTGGCCGTCCTCCGTGTGCGACCAGGCTCACCAAGCGAAGATTCTGCAAGTGCATTTACCAGGGTTCTGCAGGGGTTCTTACCAGGGCTTGAGCAGGTGGGCTGTTTATTGCTTTAGTCCGCTTGCAGGCCGCAGGAGGGCTCCCGGGGAAGAGATCAGTAGGACTCAGTAGGGTCCGCCGTGTTCTTGTTCATGGCCTTCTGCATCTGTCTCGAGAGCACAGCGCCAGGCCTTTGCCCTAAGCAGCATTCCAAAGGTCGTGAAGTCCTGGAGCCGGGACAGCCATACTTTCCGCCTGCACGCGACAGCCAAGACGCGCACCATACTAAAGCCCCACTCGTTCAAGATTGTCTTGTCTCTGGCGCAACCCTACGGGGAATGAGCCAATCCTTCTGGTCGGCTGTGAAGCGGGCCGGAGCCATGCGGGTGCATGTGGGGCCGCATCTGCGCGAGCCCAGCCGAAACCTTAGTTGGTCTCCAGGGTTCCGTTGGGAGATGGGCGAGTTGTTTGGCAGGGCTGGGATGTTCGACTGGCACGGCCTCACTTACACTTTTCGCGAAGCTCCGGTGTCTTGTCAGCTTGCTGGGCTTTGCTAACCCGACTCGCAAGCAGCATGGCAGGTCTAGGTGTGGAAGTATTGGCACAGTCAAGTCCTAGAGCAAAACTCAGACATCACTGATTCGAATTTGCAGAAGAAATGTTCGATCTCGAGCCCACAACCTGTGCCGACCGTACCGATACCTGACGGGGGGCCGGCAAGAACTTGCTTACCCGCGAGACCAAACACCGCGAAGTCTAGCGAAGCTGTCTTGGGTGCACACCACCTTGAACAAGGGTTTTCGAAGCAGAGGCACCCGAGAGTATGTGGGTGCCCTCGCACGCTGCCATGAGCGCGTGCACCACTCCTTCGTCAACGTCCTGCCGAGGCGGGGACAGGGCTTGCCTTTTGCGACTGCTTCTTGCCCTCAACTCCCCTCCACCCAAAAAACCTCCAACTTCATCCAACTTCCTAGGTCCTAGCTTAAAACACCCAGCATGCCAGGGCTCTGCAGCATCCTCCCGCGGGCTCTTGCCTCCATCTGAAAAGCATCTGCTGTGCACGTGACGACCTGCGCCTCCTGGAACTGATGGCCAAAGACATCCAGGCTCCTGGGCTGTTGCTTTTACCCATAGGCTCCTTAGTAGTTCCTTTTTGGGAGTACCTTATAGGATTCTAAATATGAACCATAAAAAGGAACTACTTAGGAGCCTATGGGTAGAGTGTCGTCACGAGTACTGCAGTCTGAGAGCTCTTTGTTGATTATTGATCACGCTATAAGGGTCCAAGTACCTAGTAATCATATACTCGTCTTAATACTAACCTACAAAACTACTAACCGTAACCCAAGTGCATGATTATTAGGTGCTTTGGACCCTCAGGGTTAGTTAGGGTCGAGATCCGGATGTAACCCTGAGCCTGTAGGCTTATAAGCCATTCAGGAGATGTCAGGATTCAGCGAATTGGTGCACCTCGATGAAGAAGTCAAGCAGTGCCGCGTGCGTGCGAGCAGTCGTTCCTAAACCCTAACCTTAACAGCCTCAGCCTCGGGGAGCGTTTCCCGGTTTCGTGTAAGAGAGTCACTTGCTTCGATTGGGTGGTTTCTGCTAGTCCGCGTGCGTTTCTTGTATGCTCTCCCATCTCACGGTATTATAAGCTATGCCAGTTGGACCTGCTGCTTGAATCTGTGCCTGCCCTGTGCGAGTCTGCGACTCGAAACCCCTAAACCCTAAACCCTAAATCCACCCCAAAACGTAAGGAGGCGAGCTACAAGCGCAGCGGCGACGCGCTCGGCTTTCACAGGCCAGGGTGGGGGGGCGATCGGGGCACAATATGGGATCTGTAAAGCCTTGAGCGCACGTCCCTGTCCGGAACTACCCGGGGCGTAGAAAATCTGCATACCCATCCGTGATCGAGAATTTCGGAACGAGGAGCAGGAAGCACAAGGTCATCTATGGCGAGGCGCTGTCCGAGTCCCAGGCGTGGCCTGCAGTCTTACAGCCTGGAAAGACGTTGACATACTCGTTGTTCCCCCTAGTGGAGTCTGATAGGTTCTTGGTGTTCGAAAGAAATCATAACATGCTATTTTTGCTACTGATGCTTGTCGTAGTCGTCATCGTCGTCCCCACTGCTGTAGCGGCAGCAGGCGGAGGTGGAGGAAGGAGGGTGGCGGTGCTGCCAAGTAGCATGAGTGGCAGAACCGCATGAGCGGAAGGTTCCGCCAAAGCCCTGAGTCAAACTCCGATGCCGACTGCCGTTTCAGTGCCGGGGCTTCCATTTCCCAGAGGCTTTTGTGCGTGTCGTGAAGCATGTCCTGGGCCTCTTCGATCTTACGTTGGTCGACTGCTGGGCGAACTTGTGCCTTTGGCATTCGAGAGAGTCATGCTGGGCTCATGATAAAGCTGCATATGCAACGCATGATCGGCACATCAACTTCCCGGCGCAGGCGTTTGCAAATGAGACCCTCGACCCTAAACCTAGTCCAGTTAGTTGAGTCGACGCGCACCGTGAGACCTGGCCTGGCTTGTCCGAGTTGTGAGAGCGTAGACCGTAGCATCAGGAAATGTGACAACTGTGCATTGTGCATCAGTTCTCCGCAAGGTACAGAGGCGAGGATGACATGAAATCCATGCACCACGACAACTACCAGGATCGCACCCCACGGGCTACAGCAGCTTGGCCCAGACAATACATTGTGGAGGCTCCGGGGCACTTGTTGGTTTGTCAGAGATCCTCACACCAAACACACCCACACACCCACACACACCCACACAGCCACACACCCAACCTCGTGCTGGCCAGACAGCCTGCCAAGCGGTGTCTTCGGATACTGCCATGTGGGAGTCGAACAGTCCTGGCCAGGCGAAGGCGAGAGGCAAGAAAACCTTAAAAACATAGGTATTTTTATTTTTTGAAAATAAAACTATAAAAAGCCTATGTTCTCCAAAAAATGCACCCTCTCTTGCGGCTTTTGAAGCTCCAGGTGACCATGGGGATAAGCCTCGGGCAAGCGCGGCACTTCACTTTCCAGAACCCTGTGACCAAAGAGGAGCACAGCGTGGTCCAGGAGGGGCTTCGCAAGTTGGCTGGGTTGCTGCCCGGAGGAAGCCCATGCCCAAACCTACAGACGAATAGTGTGGCGATTGTGAGGACTGTTTTAGCTGCTTTGTAGGTTGCTGACTGTTGCAGAGTGAGGGAGCGAACACTTATTGAATACTTATGAACGTTTTCAGTTGGTTGCGGGCCTTACGGCTTTAAATTTTGCGACAGTCAAACCGGGCAGTATGCTTGTTACGTCAACCCACCGCTGAACTCCGCTGAGACCTCGGCCCCTTGATCCAATCAAACTCGACGGCGGCTTATTGAATTAACTAGACTGAGACGCGCCCTTGATGTTACACTTGCTTACTAATTAGTTGCATTCTGCGATTGCCCTTCCCGTTGATGCCACTTCTTTAGCCGTCGTTCTACATCTTGTCATGTCCTTGGGAAGCATGGCAAAAGGATACCAAGAACAAGCGGCAACAAGCGCATTTGCAGCGCTGTCGCTCGTAGCTCTCATGGACCTATGTCTTGGGCTGAGGCTGATTGCGACCGTTCAGAAGCATCGGGGTGGAGAGATTTCGGAATGCCTCAGGAATGTCTCGTTACAGGCAGTGCCGACGAGGTTTTGTTGCGGTTCTTTTGTTACAGGCTTGAAAAGCAGCTTATGTCTTCGGCATTATGTGTGGTAGCCTACATAAAGGAGAGGAAATCTTACTCAGCCTTGCAGAGTGCCGCAGACTTCTTGTTTGCACGCACAGGAGAATGGTGACATCTTTGCTTTCGACGAGCCCTTCAACAACCTTTTCAAGCATGCTGTTCCGCCCGAGGACGCAGGTGTGGTCGAAGAGTAGCGGCAAGTAGTAATGCAGACAGCCAGCCTCATCGTGATCGTAGAAGCTACCCTAAACCCTAAACCCTGCTTGTGCGAGTGTGCGAGTCGAAACCCTAAACCCTAAACCGTCGGATGTCATGGGTTCATGTCTGAAAGGCTGACCCAAGCCCCATCGAACCAAAGCTCGGCCCCTCTGCTGCAGGCACGGCCCCCGGAAAGAGGATTGCCATCATCATCTGGGCCAATGAACAGGAAGTCCGTGTCAGTGGTGTAGGGATGTGAAAAGGTCTGGTATCCCAGAGAACGTGTGCTTGCAACGCTGGGCTGGTGCCCTAAACATAACTCCTCGAGGTCCAGGCTTTTGCTGCAGGATTTGGGATTTTGCTTTGCCGGGGCTGTGCGTTTCAGACAGTCTCTGTCAGCCGCGTGGTTCCAGATCATGGCTGCAGTCTGTCGCTCTTGATTCTGCATCCAGGACTGAGGCTTCAGGCCGTGTTTCACGTCCCAGAAAGATGCTCCCAGGGCTCCGTGCCGCGGATGATCCGGGCCAAGAATCCCGGGATGCGTGCCTTGCCAACTTCCGCTTCAGAGTGGAGGCATGTGGGCTTCTCTAGCTTGAGGATCGGATGTGGACAGATTTTGGCACAGAGGGGGCCGAAGACCGCATGGCCATAACCCGATGTTAAGGCTTTGAAGGTCTGCTGGTTTGTTTCCGATCGCTCAAGGGCCTTCTAGAGTCCAGCCAGTCCCGGCTTGCGCTACCTGGCTGTGCCAAGTCTTGGGAGGCGGAAAGCTATGCAGAAACAAGCAACATACCCGCTCTACATACTACATATCAAAGCTGCTTTTCGAAGCCCTCGCCGAGAAGCAGACAAGCCAAGCAGGCGCCAAATGGGAAGCCCACCCAACACCTCACCACCTCCTGCATTCTGGCCAGAGAGCCATATCCATACAGGAAAATTGTGGTAGACGCTAGGCTTCCCTTGGTATATGGCAGCTTCTGTCAGCCTCCCCGACCCAAAAAAAAAAAGCCCCAGCCTCAGGTGACATTGTGCCGCTGGAGGTGGACTGGGAGTCCTGGGGAAGGTGCTGCCCCGGCTCGCTCTCCAGGATCCACCGCCAAGGCCTGGCCCAGGGGGTTTCGGGAGGAAGCCCTGGAGTCCCGAAAGGAAAAAGAAAGAGAGAGTTAGGGCTTAGGGGAGTTTTATAGGGTTTAGGGAAGTTCAGGGTTTAGGGTTTAGGGAAGTTTGGGGTTTAGGGTTTAGGGTTTAGGAAGTATAGGGTTTAGGGTTCCGGGGCTCCGAAAGGAAGGGGATCGAGCTATCAAAGAAAGCCCAGCGGGGTTCGGGGTGTGTTGGATCTGCTGTGAGCGCATCTCTGCTTTCGGCTATCCTTCTCGGTACCTTCTTTGGTTTGTCATGCTCCTTCCCGTCTTTGGCAGATCGTCCCTTCTCAGATACCAGGTCATATTCTGCGACGTATCTGGGACCTGTACTACTCATACCTACTCTACATACAATACACTATAGTTATTAATACTAGTAATTACTAGTATTACAGATTAGAATGTACAGCGACAGCGTCGCTTAAGAAGCAGTTGCTTTTCCGCGAGGGGACCTCGATTTCGTACTTGTTGAAGCGCGTTTTTGATAAACAGTCGTTTCCGGACTACTAGATCCGTCTATACCATGATATGATGTACTGTAATAAACGGATAAAATACTAGATCAAGCCTAAATCACAGATAAAAGGGCGAGTGGGAGTTGTCTCACAATGCTCATGTCCAGTTTGGCGGCTGCAGCCTTTCGATGTCCCGAAAGACGCGTGAATCTCTGACGTCGTGGAACACCGGAACACCCGATAGAGTAGACCTTGGGACTGCCATGCGGGAGCCAAAAATGCGAAATCAATTCATTCCACCCGAGTCGTCGAAGTTCGACTTGCGCGACTTACAATTACGAGGCTTGATGTGCGCGCTAGCATTTGGCACATGAAGCTAAGGTGATGTCGAAGCATCCCTACTGGAGGACTACTTGAATCTCGTCTGCTTTCATTGGGGCCACCCCCTTCTGGCAGCTGAATGCCGTAGAATCCTTTTCGTTTGAAGCCGGTCTGTGTGGCCATGGCGTGAGTTTCAAGGTCGGTGGACATAAGCACCGTTGGGGCTGGAAGGCTCTATGCTACATACCCCGCAAACATGAGTTCCTAAAATATCACTCCAGCTCTGTCGTCTCACCTCAACAGACCTCTGGACACATGCTTCCCTTGGAGAGTGCAAGTGTCAGTGCCGAACCCTTAAATTAAACAACACCCATGCAGCAATGCACATCTCAAGCTGTCTCTGTCATCTCGGGCCCTGAAAATCTTCAGCCCAAAGCTTCGAGGTTTTCCAATAGCTCATAATGCCACTGCCAGCCCTAACGTTTTACAACTCAAGGGAATAATATTATTCTTGTGCGGAAACCAACCTAAGCAAACCGAAGAAGATTTTCTGGGCTGCCTCCTCTCTATCCCTTAAACCCTCAAACCCTAAAACCCTAAACCCTAAAACCCTAAAGCCCTAAACTCTAAAACCCTAAAACCTTAAAGCCCTAAAACCCTGAAAAACCCCTAAACCTCTCTATTACCGGTAGACGCTATGACTGGTCCAGGAAGGCGCCAGAAGCGGAACCTGAGCCCGTGGCGCCCGTCCTCAAGGAGGTCGGTTCTGCCGGGTCTTGAGATTTTCAGGGATTGGGGCATTTTTGGAGTCTAAAGATTTGGGGTTTCAGGGTCTACGGTTTATATAAGGGTTTATAGGGTTTAGAGTCTAGGCTGAGTAAGTATACTCTATACAGCTGCAGTAGTTCGGCTGCATGCTTGAGATGACGAGGGAATCTGGGATAAGAATGGATATGAAAGAAGGAGGGGAAGCGGATGCAAACAGCGACCTTGTCGCCGTGGGTGCGGCTGCCTATTTAAATGACGAGCAAGAGAAACAGAGCGGAGAAGAGCAAGAGTCGCCTTGCCATGCCTTGCCGCAAACAAGCCCAGGCGTTGCAGGCGCAACCCCCCCTGCGCCCCATAAGAACTCATCACGTTTCTAACTCTCCGAACTACGAGGCCGAGGATCTGAGAAGCCCCGAACTTCTAGAGGAGCAGCTTAGAGTTTAGAGTTTAGGGTTTAGGATTGAGAATGCCGGAAGAAGCCCTTGGAGTGCATCAGGCTTCGCCGGACGTTACACGCCGCTGGAGGTGCCTGTGTAGACATCAGATGGCCTTGAGCCTCTTTTCCTTTTAGGATCAAATGGTTGTCTGTTGGGAACACTTCTTTTGAAGCATGAGATTTCAGATGTACTTACTCTCGGATGTTCTCGGCCACTGCAAAGCTTTGATGTCCGTGGGGAATGCCCGCGCATCCCACATCCGGCTCTGTCTCTCTGTCCGCATTTGTTTGGGTGTTTGTCTATCTGTCCTCATTTCAGTGTGCATACTGTTGTGTCTCCCAGACGGTTGATTGTGTGTTTTGTGAAAGCGATGACCTGGCAGGGCTCCCATGCGCTGCAAGAAATCGCGACTGCTGCATGCACTAGAGAGGTAGCTTTAACAAGTCGACGCGTGTCCGTGTCCGAGTGTCAATGAGATCGGTGTTTTCATATGTTTCCATTACAGGGAGTCTTTGGTGATGATTGCAAGATAACAGAGTAGGGCGTGGCGTAGTAATTAATTGGTGGACATGAAAGAATGATTGCACTAGTGCTCGGTTTAGGCAGTCTAGGCTTACTGTGTTGGGCATGCCTGGTTCATCGGTGGATGTTCAAAGCTGCATGATTGGCGATGTTGCTGACACTTGAGTTTTTGTTTGGGTTTGGGTCTTGAGCTTGGGATAGCCCCTCGGATAGGCTTTAGAATGCTGGGGACCTTCAGTGAAACACTCTGGCTTTCACAGATTAGTTTGGTCTTGCCTGCCTCGTGCGACTGTGAGAGTCGACACCCCGCCGTTCAACCGCGCATGTGCGTGGGTCACGAAGTCAGCCTTTCCCTGAAGGTCTGCACCTAAAGATGCCTCGCAGAATCCATGTCTCAGTGCCTCGGCACCAATGATTTCTCGCGCTCCTTTGCCTAAAATGTCATACGTGTAACTATAGGGGTTACAAGTTATACTTGCTTATGGCCCCATTTGGATACTTATACCTTGCTTTCCAGGCCCCCCTGATCCTCCAACAAGAACCCCCTCCGACCTTCGAATCCCGCTCCTCCGTGCGCTGTGGCCCAACAGCAAGACGTACCCGCCCCATGCCGGGGCTACATGGATCTGAATGTTAGTACCTGTCGCAGTCATGATTTTCTTTAATCCCCTAAGCCCATATACATATGTATATAGATATGTGTATATATATATACATATATATGTGTGTGTATATATATATATGTACATGTATGTATATATATGCATATACCTATATATGTATATAGATACATATGCACCTATATACATATGTATATGTATATGTATGTATATATATATATAGAGAGAGAGAGAGAGATAGATGTAAATATAGAGATATACAGTAGCATACTCTTCAACATCTTGTTCTGGCCAGCAACGCTGCGTGTGGTAGTAGGATTGTGGCCCGAAGGTGTGCCGTGAGCTGGCGTCCAGTTCCTGTATTTCAATGTGGTCAGTCCTGTCTCGCAGGTTTAGATCTTCGTGGCCCCTGAGAGACGGGGGTCGCATGTGTGTGGTTTTCGAGGGCTACAGAAATGAGAGGTTCGACGGTTTGCTACCGCAGAGGCATCAGAACGATGAGGATTGTGCCGATAACTCCGTACAACTCATAGCGCAGAGATCCAACCCGCAAGCCTGACCAAGTCCGCAGCCCCACGGGCCTTCAACCGGCGTCCATCAATCTCCCAAACTTCGAGCCACAGATTTGCGACAGAGGTCAAGGCTATCCCTTGCATCGAGTCGCAATGGATACGTCGCCTCTCCTGCATGGCGCGTTGCTGGGCTGTGATTCAGGCATGTAGCATGCATGTCGTGTAGGCTGCAATCCAAGCTCCTCACTTTGCGGCTGGGGATCATCCAACAGTAAAGCGTGAAAGGCAGTGACCGTTGGGTGGCTGCGCGTGTTTCTTTCAACTGGGTTGGGCTTCATGGAGGCGGGGGATTTTGCAGCAGAGTTTTCGGTGCCCTAGTCCTATGTGCGGATGCACCGGCATGGAAGCAATCTCAAACCTGCGGTTCGTAATGACCGCTCCAATCTCAAAAGGCCGTTTTGAGTTTGCTTATCAGTTAAGACTTGTTTATCTCACATCGCTAGGTTGAACTACGCATCAATGAGCGTCCACACACGGGGGGCTTGGACATCTCAACCAAACAACAGGTTTCAACCATCCAGTCGGGACTGTCTGTTTTGCATGTGTCCGGGGTTCCCGACATTGAGGGCACTGTGGCGCCGCCAACGCAAAGTTCTCTCATGTCTGATGTGATAGCAACTGTTGCTAAAGGTGGAAGAGCTGGAGACTTCGTGAAGGAGCCGCTATTCAGCGTTTCTGCCGAGGCGGAGTGTGCGGAACGTGGGCGATCTGCGTGGAGAGATGAGGCGTCGCAAGACTCGAGCCGAGACGGGCGATGCGGTACGCAGTATTTCGGTTGCGAGCATTGCAGAAGGCAGAAGCCGCATGCCGCAAGAAGCCCAAAGCATCCCTCGCGGCCTCAGCACCGAAGACTCCGGTTGCGAGAATTTCAGAAGATGTTGCGGAGCTTGGTGCATCCTGCAAGAAGCCCAAAACATCCGACTTGGCCTCAGGGGAGGATATGCCTAGAAGCGGACGAAGAGAGAAATCTTGACCTGAACGAGCCTGATGATGCCCTGGGTTACATTCTATTTCATTGGGCCCGGCAAAAGCCGAAGGCAAGTGACAGGGTCATACGCTTTTATGCTGAAGAGCAGCACGAGAAGTGGGGGGCTTGCGTTCGGTTCCTGGCGTTCCGTTCCGTTCAACTATACATGGAGGTGCAATGCGATGGCCCGCGAAGGTTCCAATGATTTGTACAGAGCTTGGAAGAATCTGTTGCGAAACTCCGCAGCTGCCGCACCTCCAATTACAACTCAGATCGGGCCCTTGAGATGTGGGGGAACTCGGCCGCGAGCTCATACGGCCTCTCCCTTGGACCTGGTAGCGAAGCAACGGACTTAGATTCGGTGTTCGTGCTGTGGAGTTCAC